GGATAATAGAAAGACTGGATAGGAAACTTATGTCGCAAGGGCTGATTTCTTATCGCCATCGCCGATTGGTTGTTTCGTGGTCCAAGATGGCGTTGGAAGGTTTCATCGTAGTGAAAATTCTGTGTGACGAAACGATGGCGAAAATGTGGGGCAAACCAGTCGAAAGGTAGGGGTTGTTCGCCTGCATGTTGTTCTTTTTCGAAGTTTTTACTGCTACTTTAATTTTTGGCGTATGTTTTCCCTTCGTTTGTTATCTTACGGCGATGGCAACCCTTCAAAGCCACACTTGAACCTTCGAGGTAAACACTTCTTGTTTTTTTTGTATTTGTCGTTGTCTTTGAGAAAATTGCGTCCCAAAAATTTAGCTCCATGACCAGAGATATATTAAGAAGTCTTGGCGACTGTTTTGGGACGCCTTTATTAAGAAGGTCCTTCCTGATTCTATTTATAACTACATTTTACAGATCTTTTAAGGATGGAATTGTGGCGTAGGCATAGTTACAGAGTGAGTGCTGTAATTTTCAAGCCATACATTTCGATTGTAAATGGCTGAAATAATACATTCAGACTTGGCGCCGAGAAAGAGTAGGCACATGGTGTGTTATGTTCCAATCGGCAGACTTGTTTGTGTTGAGAACTGTTTCGCTCAAGTATTATATATCCAAGATTAACCCTGCAAATTTTTCGTAAAGCAGTATGTGAATCTCGCTTATCTTTTAATGTTGAAATAAAACTACTAAATTACATATCCAGTCATACAATCGCCTCACGTCGTTCCTCGCAGCTTGTATTCGAAGGCACTGAAAAGACTCGAATAATTCTTGTACTTTTCCCTTACATAAGCTTAAGCTTAATTGTAGCATGAAAGGGAAAACGCCCACTGACATTTTTCGGGCTCCGATTAGGCTCCTAAGTGTTGCAGTATTTTTTAAACAGTGATTTAGTTTTCCTTCTGTGTATGTTTTATTGTAGGATTTGATGAACACATTTAGTCAATGAAGACAGTAAAATTGTGGTCAAGTATTCTTCTGAAAGGGCACAAATCAATCAATCTTTCTGTATTAAACAGCAGCAAACTTGCTTTTTTAACTAATCTGAAATCTTTATTTAGCCATGCGCGCCATAGAAAACGGGAAAGGCCTGGTATGTTACCGTTGACGAGTTTAATCTTGAAAGGCCGTGAAGTTATCAGGTTTGCAGCACACATCTTTATCTTCACAACATTATTTCATCTTTAAGTCACGTCGAAAGTGACGAACTCTTTCGCTTATGATCCAGAATAATTCACTGGACTGTTTCTCTTGTAAAGAGCTCAAAAACAAAATGTATCATCATGAGAAATCCGCGAGTCGTAGTATCGAGATAACTGTTAGGTCCGATTCTATTAGACACAATATGATTTTGATTGTTAAGAATGTACCAAGCAGTGCTCTTTCATCCAAAGCCTCAAACCGCAAAAAAATTGGAACTAAATACCTTCAGCAACCTGTTGGTAACGGGTTATGTTTCTTTTTTTTTTTTTATGCCTGATCGCACTGATTTGCTTGGCTTAAACTTTTGCTCTGGTCACAGTGACGTTGTGACAGCACATAAGGAGATTCTAAGGACACCTGTACAAAGGGCTACTCAGGCCTGATTCTTCTTTGTGAGATCGAGCTTTAACCGTTTTTTTTTTTTTTATACAAGAAAGATTAAAAACTGTAAACAAACCTGACAGAGCCTAAACACTTGAGGAGGCTATGTACGCAATATTGTGCCTGCTTGGCGTTTTTACTTGATATTTCAGTTTCTGTGAAATAAAAGATTTATCATGATTAGAAAGACACACTGTGAGACAAGTCCACATCACTTCTGCGACGTGAGCCTGCCATACCATTTTTGAAGTTGACACGTTTTACTGCTCAGATTTGGTCTTCACAACATTATTTTACCCTTAAATCTGCGGATTTTATTCAAGATTGAAAAGTAGGTTTGGGTGACAAAATCATTCGCTTATGACAATAATTCACTCGTTACTTTCTATTCGATAAAGAACTCTATAATAAGTGGCAAACGCGACTTTGTATTTGCAGAGTTAGCGAAGCTGTTATGAACTGTTCTCTGTTATTCCTTCTTTTCATAATGTAATTGGTGATACTTTCTTTTATCCAAAAAAAAAAAAAGCTCGAATGAACAAGAATAAGGAGTGATATGACTTTTCTTGAATATTAATGCCATCAGCTTGAATGGTCGATGGTTATATGTAATTCCCCATTACTTATACAAAAGCATGTGAATATACAGTACAAATATAGAAATAGAACATCAAGAGGCTTGTAGCTTCTTGAATCCCTATTTATTCTTCCACTTCTGAGAATTTATAAAATCTATAATTTATAAGGAATAAAAAACGAATCTGTACTCACAGGAATTCTGGTATGTCCACCGGAGTCAGTTGAAACCTGGTTCGTGGAGCCTCAGTTGTGTGGTGTGGCTTAGCTTTCCTTCAAGTAAGGAAAATTATAGTATAATGTCAAATTTCCGAAATGAAGCAATTGAACATTGCTTTTTAAATGTATAATCGACAATTAGGCTTAAAATAGATTGAAAAAAAAAATCATAAAGGATAGAAACCAAACTGTAATTACCGTTACAGGGATTCGGACATTTCTAGCGCAATGATATGGTGAGAGCTAGTCCCGTCGTGGAACCCACAGCATGTGGGTTTAGCCTATGCTTGTAATAGAGATAAATAAAGCACAGCATGGCATGTCATAGAATGAAGCCAAGGTTCGAAAATGAAATAATTGACCATTTCTTTTTAAAAGCTGATCAACATTCTGCCGATTATGGTAATTAGGCTTCAAATCTAAATTATTCGTTGGGACCATCCTAGAAAGAAAGCCTGTGCCTATGGATATTTCCCGGCACTATAATAGTGAAAGCTAGTTCTTGGAAGGTCTGTTATGAGCGTATGGTTCAGCTATCGACTTCTATTATTTTATGAAGAAAATATACTGCCTGACGTCAACGTTCGAAAATGAAATAGAATTGATCTTTTATTTTTGAAAACATTATGTTGATCAGGGTAAGGCTTGGGTGAAAAACGATGATGGTTAATAATATCCTTGACAGGAATTGTAAGAATTTGTAGCCAAATCGGATTGAGAATCAAACTTGTACCGCTGCTAGATGAGACATGTGGGAGATTGTGTAGTTTTAAGTGTTATCGTGTGATTAACAGCCCGAACTCACAAACAATTGTGAGAATAGGTTGGCTCCAAATTTTCTGAAAAAACAAAGTCGTGAAACAAATTAAAAAACAATAAAGACGTGAGAAGTTGAAAGATATATAATTCTGGGGGTGGGGTGGGGGAGAGCAGTAGGGGTGGTGCAGGCCCGTAGACAAGATTTTTTACGGGGAGGTGACATCTAACGAGTATACGGACCAAATGATGCCAGAGGCGCAAGTCTCTTGGGAAGGGGTTGGGGGTGAGGGGGAATTAGGTTCCCTGAGACTGCTTTTCGAGCATTTTGAAATACTGGATATTTCTCAAACTTTTAATCTTCAATTGTAGTTTTTTTTTCAAATAGAGTACTTTATTTAAAAATTTTTTTAAAACAGCAATAAATGCGAGATGTCACTATTGAAATGAAGAAAAAAGTAGAAAGAAAGTTGTAAATCCGTATTATTCGCTACGTTTAATGCATAATGTTTGCATCATGATCTTTCAATAGTGTACCAAGCTCAAGTTTCCTTGGGTGTTTCTTAGAAACAGATCAATCAAAGACTTTTTCTTTAGATCAATGCACGTTAGATAGTGGATGTGCTGATTAGCCAGTGAAGAGTGCCTCTCTTGTTCCGCGAATACTACTTTTTGGCCACATAAAACAGCTGATATTTTAAACTCACTATTCTCAAAGACAAAGGGCCACAACGAAGGAAAAAAGGATCCGAGATTCACCCCTTGCAATTGGCAGGAGCCCATCAGTGGCTCCTGTAAGAAGCCTGCTTTGCAAGCGTTTTCTTGCATACATACATATTTTCAAATAATAAACCAGTATTTTGTTGTTTTTGGCAAGCTGTGATTGAACAGACACGATTTCTTAGTACTGTATTTTTGTGTAGCGAATTTAAGTTAGAGAATATTTACTCTGGAGTAAATTTTTGCAGGAAAAATGTTTGCGGTAATTTTTATTTGCGGGAACTTATTCTTGCAGATCGCTGAAAAAACCGCAAAACTTAGAACCCGCAAAAATTTCGTGCCGTACAGTATCGATTAAGAAATAATAAAAGAAATTTTAGAAATGGGTTATATACTTCATTTGGCCATCTCGTAAACAATGGTGTTATATACATACTTAGATATACTCACTATATACCCGTTTGAAGGGGGATTCATAAATCTCCAATATACATGCTGTAGTACCAGCGGTTAGGTTAAAAATCAATGTCCCTCCACATTGAATTTGTTAGTCATGGTGCCACCTTTTTTCTCTCAGTTTAGATACTTCAATGCCCATTCGACTTCTATATTCTGTACCAGTCCGATGTCAAATGCAGATTAGCCATAATGTAAATATAACAAGTTAGGATCAGCAACATCCTGGTTGACATGTGCAATTTGTTTTTGCAACAGTAAATTAAATGAATATATTTTGATTTTTTGTGCCACCATTTATACAAGAAGTCAATCTGATCTTGAAACTTAAAAGATAACAGTTTAATTGATTTGCTCTCTGAAAGAGAATTCTACCATGTGTAAGGATGGAATAACTTCAGGCTTTCTTCTGCCGTAATTTCACTGCTGACTCTTGTGGGACATAAAAGAACCCATGCTGCTGTTTGAAAAGAATAGAGAGGGAGAAGACCTCGACAGGTGTGGTTGACCAGGTTGAACGGGTGTACCAAAAAACATCTTATTTAGCGAAAATTTTCTTTGCGCTCCACAAGCGTGGTTGGGGTTAGTGAAGGAATGAATTTATTTATTGAGTAAATAAAATTGTTTTTGAATCATTAGGTGATAACTGTTGCCCTCCGATGCCCTGATGGAGCAGTTAAGAGACGGAGATTTACATTGGAGTCGCAAATCAAGGTGATGCTTACCATACATGCACAATACACAAGCACATAGATGTTTTGGCTTCCTTGAAGGAATTTAATCAGCTGTTACACTTGCGCTTCTCGTCGTTAATTACATTGCGTTATCCATTTTTCTTAACCATTCATTTGTTTTAGCGGCGGCCCAAACTGTGGGAGTTCGTTAGACTTTGAACTTATAAGAGGATGTATGAAAATATACAAATTACGTCCTAAATTCCATTTTTTTGACAAAAAAATAGATAAAAATGACTCACTTTGTGTTTTTGTTTTGTTATTTCTTGAAAAAACAACAACAACAAAAAACAAAACAAAACAAAACAAATACACCGCAAATGGAAAAGAAGCTGTGACCGTAAAAACTGTGAAAGACCTGTGACCTACGATAAAATTTTTTGATCACTGACTAGAATCCTCCTCTTTGATAAGATTACGATTCAGTCTCTTCATCAGCTTCGTTCTCAAAAAACCGCAAGTTAAAATTTGGAAGGTCGAAAATTAAAGTCCAAGTCATCTTTGGTTACAAACATATGATAACTTTCTTTACCATTTTTATTTTCGAGATAGAAAGATTTAGAGCTGCAAAATCAGCATGGTTTTGAAATCTTGCTGTACAGTAAGTTATAGACAGCAAATTGACCAATCAAAGGGCGGAAACAGACTTACAATACGTACAATAAAAGTAAAATAGCGCGTGCGATCGAATTGTTGCGCGCGAGCTGTTCTATGCATGACCTAACAAACCAATCAAAAAAACATCATTGCAAACGATTTGGCAAAGAAAAGACAGACCTTCTCAGATGGCTTGATATGTCTGGCGTCAAAGATGGAAATACAAAGAATCGCCTTAAGCAGTATATTCAAAGTGACAGTTATCGCCATGTTGTTCCTTTCTGTTGCTCTAAATATGGTAAGAACACTACAAAAAATGGCAAGAAAAATTTGTTTTGACGTTTAGCAAAAGTTTGATATATTTCGCGAGTTTCATGAAGGAGTTGAAAGAAAGATGTCTTTCACGAACAACAGCTTCTTTGGTGTATTTCGGAAAGGACGAATAAGTAGGACGGTACGCAGAAAAAGATGGAAGGCTATTTTAAAACGTGGCTATGAGCTACGGAGGGATCTAGGGTATTAATAGGAACGTTCCAAAAAGCGGCCTTATTATCGCTTGCCTAGAGATTAGATAAGAAATGAGTAGGCGATTAATTCTACACGAAAGAGGAGTTACTCACTAAAGGTTTTGCACTTCCTATTGCACGTGTAGCACGCACATGTATGTTTTAATTATTTATCATTTTACCTAGTAAAATTAGTATTTGGTTCCTGTGTACCACGTAGCCGGCTACGTAGGAAATTGTTCAAGTGGTAGGGTATTCTGCAGTTCAGCCGTTTTCTGAAAGGAGACGACTATGTTGTGTGCCTCCGGAGCAAGAAGAAAAATAAAGCCGCCTCGCGGCGAATTGGCCGCTTCACGGCCAAAAAAGGCTCGCGGTCGACTTGTAGCAAGTGTAGTGAAGACCTAGAAAGACAATTACCTTGTTTGCTAAGAAGCGTTCTCCAAAAAAACAGTTCGCTCGGAATTCTGATGCGTAGTCTACTCATTCCAATACAAGAAGTGAACAAGAAAGTCAGGACAAGTTCCAGCTTGATTCTGGAGAGAGAATTCCGTCGGCAAGCAATTAAAGGCTCCACTATAACAGAGCAAGAGAAATTTCGAGCTGTAATCGGAAAGAAAGTTTGCTGCAAAGCCACGTTTAAAAAAATTGCCCTATTTGGCGAGATTATGTCTGTCATGACTAGAGTAAACAAGAGGAAGAGTGCTTAAGGGTTTTAAAGCTCTGCTTCTAGAGTTAAGAAAGCAAGTAAAAAAAATTATCTTAGTCATCAAAATGATTTCTTTTACTTGCTTTCTTAACACTAGTGTAGATCCTTCTTCCAGGAAAAAAAGTACTGTACTTGTGATTCCAACTATTGAGAAACAAGGGTTTGCTAAAAAAAAGGGTGCGGAGCACGAATAGACTAGGTTGTCAGGAGCATACCTGACTGTAAGCCAGTTAAGCGTGGGTTAAAAGATTTTTGGGTGATTTTTTTTTCGAATGGCTAAATTGAAAAAGAGTCACAATCTTTTTTTTTGTGTTTCCATTTTCCAAGTGCTTGCCAAGGGTATCATTGATGGCATGCAGCTCGTCAAGACAGAGCCCTGCTGCACTCCTTCACTCTAGTTTTACATTTAAGGTATAGACAGATGTCACAAGACTGCACCGGCAGACAGGCGATGCCGAGTCTCGTCGCGTCTTGGCTTTAGTAACTAGAGAGTTTTAGATCGAGTTTACCGCGAACCTCTAACCGCTGAAGGTCACGTGACAAGTCTTTCGCGTCACGTTTGAGGTTTATGACGTGCGTTTTCAACGTGGGGAGGTAGGTTTTCACGTATGTCATTTACCTGAAATCTTTTAGCGTATAATTCTTGTTTTATCTCACGTAATGATACAAACATCTGGTGGAGCAAGTCTTTATCCATTAACAGAGGCAAAAATTCGGGCGAAATGCTAAATCTGATAAATCCTATTGGATCTTGAAAACAAGTGCCATTCATGGCTGCTAATTGGCCACTCCAGAAAATACCATAACATACTATAATGCTTTTTGATTGTCGCCCCAACGTTTTGCATAAGCATTGTCTTCAGTTTCTCTTGGGAGTTAAAATGGCCCCAAGAGAAACTGAAAACAATGCTTATGCAAAATTTTGGGGTGACAAACAAAGAACATTATGGTATGTTATGGTATTTCTGGAGTGGTCAATTCAAAATGGCGGCCGTAAATTTGAAAGAGAAACTAATGTAAGAATTTACAGTTCTTTGCTGCTACATCACATAGTGTTACCGTAAATTTCTTTTATTTTCACTGATTGATATTTCTTTTATTTCTAAATGGAAAAAAGAAAAACAGAATCCACTTCTTTAATCCACAGCCAATCTAAATCGAAGTATGTTTGAACGTCGACTCGCAAACGGGTAACCGCAAACCGCGGTTAGAGGTTCGCGGTAATCTCCGATCTAAAACTCTCTACTGTCTTTGTGTCAACGTCTACTATGCAAGTAGAGACACGCCCTGTGCTCCCTCTTTTACATGCGTACAGTTACACGCGTATCGATACAGACAAGGTGGTCCAGGAGTTTTGCACCAGGAAACCCCGCAGTTTGGCATTTGAATTCTGAACACATGTACGCAAACCTTCCTTGAGCCAAAAGGACAATCTCGACCCCAGTGCTTACCCCTCTGACTCCGCGCGTAAGCTCTTCCTCCCTGGCCTTCATGTGCAGAAGAGCTCTGTGGTCGATATTGCTCCTTTAACTGTTCATTCGGCCTTACATTTTATAATGCCACTGTGAAACAGCTCACGTAAAATGATTGTAACGTAGCTTAAGTTACTTTACGGCCTGTAAAACCCCGGGTCTGACGCCAGTCAAATGACTGTTACTATCGCTTGTCCAGAACTTGGTTCCAGTCTCCGAAACAAGAAGATATAGAATAAGAATATTTTTAGCGTCGTTTCTTGATACGTACTGTTAATTATGGATCCTATTTTTTTCCCATCGATTTATGGCCGCGTGCTTCAGACAAGAGCTTCTCGAAGTTCCTATTTTTGGCGTCCGAGTCTTCTTCATTCAAAATACGTGTGTTACTTTAGACAGAAGATAAAAAAGAAGACTGAAAAATGAAGAGCCAATCTTTAAAACATGCTTTATCGAAAAGCGCAGTGCATTTTGGTTTAAACTTTTTTCAAATGGTGACTTTGGCAAACATTTGTACGGACTGGTATAAACAGTGCTGTAACAGAATGTGCAGGGTTCCATGGAAACGGGTTGTACAGGTAAAAATTCGTTTGGAGCCGTTTAATCGCTCTCATAAAAATTTGAACAAGGAAATAACTCTCCTGTTTTTGACATACATTGCTTTGCTCTTGCTTACAGTGGAACACCGCCTTACAACCACCTCGGTAATACGGTCATCTTGTTATTACGGTCACGCCTTTTTGGCCGCCCGGGTAAACGACCATACGTTTTCTTGTGAAAAGCCCCTCGTTTATACGGTCACCTGTTAATTCGGCTAAATTTGTGTATTTCTATCGTTTAACCTTGGTCAATTTTCGTTTGACGAGTTCGGTTTGCATTAGCCAACCTCAACATACTGCTGTTTTGCGGTTGATTTGGATTACGTTAAACTGTTTTAATTCTCTCTCTTTTATCCGTAGATGTTATATGTCTTCGCGGAATGGCTTGGTTACTCGTCATCTCGTTATGTTATCTCAACGATATTTCCGAGAAAACAACTCTCTGAAGTCACACAGACGTTTTTGGAGGCTGGACTGACTGGGGACACAGCTTTAGTATTGGAAGAAATATAGAATTAGAATATTTTATAGAAATAAGTAAACAAGTCTTAGTAATAATAAACTGTTATTAAATTAGGAGACCAGTGAGGTTGGTTATTGCAGTGGATTTTTCTTCATTTAAAGGGTTATTTGCACGATGACGTCTTTTTGCTAGTAATACCAAAATTCATTTGATTTTTCTTGCATAATTAAATTTTGTAATCCCAATGAGGGTTAAATAAATAACTTAATTTGCACAGGAAAGCAAAACCCTGAAGGATTCTGGAAGTGGTTGTAGTGGTGGCAGTGGCGTAGCAGTGGCAGTAGTAGTAGCAGTAGCAGTAGCAGTGGTAGTGGCAGTAGAAGTGGTAGTAGTAGTAGTAGTAATGGCAGTGGCAGTGGCAGTAGTAGTGGCAGTGGCAGTTGCAGTGGCTGTAGTAGTGGTAGTGGCAGTAGCAGTGGCAGTGGCAGTGGCAGTGACAGTGGCAGTGGTAGTGGCAGTGGCAGTGACAGTGGCAGTAGTAGTGGCAGTGGCAGTGACAGTGGCAGTAGTAGTGGTAGTGGCAGGGGTAATGACAGTGGCAGTGACAGTGGCAGTGGTAGTGGCAGTGGTAGTGGAGGTAGTAGTGGTAGTGGCAATGGCAGTGTCATTGGCAGTGACAGTGACAGTGGCAGTGGTAGTGGCAGTGGTAGTGGTAGTAGTAGTAGCCGCTCTATCGGATCCGATCTTGTTTCTTCCCGAGAAGTGGAAGCGGGAGGAGGGGAGGAGGGCTCATTTCCCCGGAGGTGCCCCGGGCTGGCAACCCAGTCTAGCTCCATATTTATGTCATTGCGAACAAGCCACCTGGTAGATACTTCTGTCCTATAGCAGTATGCAGCTGTAGTAACCAGAGTTATAACTTCGACGCCTGTTGGAAGAGCTTGGATATTTTATCGGGGTCGCCAGTTGAAAAAGGTGCAGTATAACTACAGTTTAGGTATGTCTAATAAACTTCACTCGTCTTTTGTGATGAGTTTCCTGTCTTTGCTTCTCTCAGATTTCATCTCCGCTTTCTGAAGCTCTTGCTAAAATCAAGATCTTCGAACTTTAAGAAAAACTATCGTGACAATCTTGTTCCCACTGTCCTTCCTATCGTATCACGCCTGTCTAATTTATTGGGTTGATATTATCTATGACGCAACATAAACTTGACGTTAGTAAGGATTTTCCTTGAAAAGACCAATTCACAGCTTCACATCAAACAAATATCTCACCCAAAGCATAGTATCAAACGTTACAAGAACAAAAACGAACTTTGAAAAACTGTTAAGTTGACAAGTCTTCAAAACAGCAATTACAATCCGTTTTTATCTTCTTCACATTTGTCCATCAGTTCCTCCTTTTGTATATGCTGTGTTTTCATATCTATCTTAATGTTTTGAGGCTTTAATTCTATTTTTTACTTATTTGGTGAGTAGTGTTGGAGCTGCTCCTAAGGTCTCTTCTATTCGGTCGCAGGAAACAATGACGTTATTCTTTAAATTCTTTAAATTGTGAAAATTATTTCATTCAAATATTTTCGTGAGTCCTCTCATCTAAAGCAAGTGAAGCGAGCACACTTTCGCTGTAAAGTGCTTCCGATCGCCAAGCCGAATCGCATGAATCCTTAGCTTTCTTTGTGAAAAGATCTCGGGAAAGTAAAGGCTATTCCAGCTAGAGTAAAATCTTCTTTTTGGTGGCCCTCAGGCGTGCAACAACTTGAAGCAAACCATATCGGTCGACTCAATCGCTAAGACGCGCAGTCAAAACAAAACTCCTTGAGGCCTCATTAGCCTCGCTTTCGCGCAACTAGACCCGGGCCGGCCGAGAGGTCCGCCATATTTGCATTCGGTGTATGTCACTAACGTGGGACAAAAGAAAAGTCTGAGTCCCCGACAGGATTCTAACCTATCACTCAAACACCGGGCGGGCGCTCTATCCACTTGAGCTACGGAGAACTCGTGGAGATCAAGGCCATATACTAGGTAGATATTTGGCACGCATTAGCATTATATTAGTATTGTTTGGGGTCAGATTTAGGCACCATTGGTGACTTCTCTTCCGCGGAGTAGCTGCTTCATGACCCAATTTGGTGGCGGTTTTCTCAGTTTGAATGATGTCGTTCATAAATCTACTGCTTGCAAAAGTAAAGGCTTACGGTGTTCAGGAACCGGCTCTTCAACTCTTAAGATCATATCTGCATGGCCGCAAGCAAAGGGTGATATGCAATAACAAGTGCTCTAGCTGGTCAACGGTACGATGTGGCGTTCCGCAGGGAAGTCTCCTTAGTCCTCTATTATTTAACATCTTTATGAACGACATAAACGAAACTGTCACCGTTTCTTCTCTCCGCCTCTATGCAGACGATACAACTCAACATACTGCGGATTATAGCCCAGTTGTTCTTCAACACTTATTAAACCATGACATGGAAAAACTATCTTCCTGGTTTGCCTCTAACTATCTACAGGTTAACGAGGACAAGACCCAGGCGATGATCCTTGGGAACTCATCCTATCGATACGACCTGGAGTTTGCCGGCACTCCCATTGATATTAACAACCATTTAAAGATCCTAGGAATATGTTTAGATAACAAATTATCTTTTCGCCCCATGTAAGGGAATCCATGGCAGTCGTGGATTCCGGATTCCGATTACTGCATTCCGGATTCCAGCTCAGTGGATTCCGGATTCCAAAAAGGGCTGGATTCCAAATATTTTTCTGTTTTAATGCTTTTCTTCGCATTTCGTTTTCGTGTTCGAATCTTGCTATACTGAAAGACGTTGTTTAGTATCCACAACAAGTTTGTTTTCTTTTTCGATTTATAAATTACGTGAAGAAATGTATTACTGTTCCTAAAGGGTTTAAGGTATAATAATGAGGGGGACATTGGGGGACTGTCCACATCGCAACACCGCGGAAAAAAAAATAACAAACATAGCATCACCGCAAAAAAACGAGGCGAAACACCGACATCGCAATTTTAAATTTTGTCCTTCGATTAATCTAGTCCAAATCTTCATATGATTACGGATCTCGGATCTCGGAGCTGGTTTAGTGATTAGTAGAGAGTGAGACTGACCTCCGACTCTATTTTTCACTTACTCTATTTTTGCGAACTTTATTTTCAGTAATGGGAAAAGGTACAGTCATTGCCAGGGAAAATCGAGCTGCAATTTGCAAGAAAACGGCCTAACAAAGCTTGTGTGTAACTCCAAATCAATTTTTCCTGTCTATGCCATATCATAAACCAGCGAAGGTTAATCAAGTCTTTTGCTATCCACCAGTAATATAACAGAAGGTTCATTTTGCTTGTGTGTCATTACATTCGTAGTTTTCCTCGTCCTGTCCGAACGCCTGGAACAGGCTACGTCGAATCATGTTTGCAAATTCTTTTGGAACATTAAAACAGTGTTTCGAAGTAATAGAACTGAACAAAACGTTGAAAGCCGCCAATTGCTAATCACCTCCAAACTTATGACGAAGAAAAGCTTGGTTCTTAACATGTTTTAAGACATTGTTTTTCGTCCTTTTTTTACTTTTTATTGGAATCATTGTCATAGCGCAAAAAACTAAATTCGGTTACCGCTCTTTTGTAAAACTTTCATTTATAGAGACACAGTAAGCTGTAGAACACGCGCATTAGATATTACTTCTTAACTGAACTGCTTTCACACTTTCCCATATGACTCGCAAGACACGAATTTTAGCCAAATACAAAAAAATACACTTCTCCTAGGACGGGATAAGCATACACACTCAGCAAAAGATTGACAATCAAAAAAAGCACTACAAAAGATTAAATTCGACTTCAAGCTGACAAAAGTGATGTCCCTGTCAGCGCGGCCCTAAAGTGACTAAAGTTGACAGTGTCACATAATTGTCTAAGAATGATAACATAGCTCAAAATAAACCGGACCAAGTTGATCCACTAAATAAATTTTTACGCTGTCACGTCTCTACGTTTTTGACAGGTCAAAATAAAGATAAAAAGTCAGTAACTCTTGATAGTCTGCAAGCCTAAAACTATCAGTTACTTGGTCTAGTTGTTGCTGAACTATTTAAATCGATTTCAAAAGGTGGCTTAATACACAAAACGGCTCAAAACGTAGTCAAAGATAGCCTGATTTGCCCGCGTTCAGTCAAAACTGTAGAGCTGAACTTGTTTGTTGTTTATTGACTTACGCTACGCAAGCATCCTTGCTGGACAGCATGCGAGAGCAAACCACCCCCTCCCCCCCTCGCCCCTAGAGGTCAATGAAATCCCTAATCTCGTACCCAGATCTCTTGTTGTCGAAGCCAAAGGCGAGATCTGGCCCCAGTTGTCGCGTTGAATTTGATGTTAAAAAGATAAGAAAGAACACAAAAATTAGTTGGTTCATACTTAAGATGTGCGCATAACCACGTTTTGATAGAAAAAACTTCATGGTTCTATCAAATTCGTTGTTTAACACGTCAAAAATTGAGGATCAATTTCAAGCATACGCTCTTTCATGGCCTGTCACATTCCTGACCGGCAATCACGGGTACAAAATCGGATTTGACCAGATCTCGCCTTTGGCTTCATCAATAAGGAAGAGATCTGAGTGTGAGATTACGAAATCCCCGCGAGTTTTATTTCATATTAGCACCTTCTAGGGTGGCTCTAGGATCCATTTCAAAGAAAAAAATACGGCCTAAACCGATCTCAGATCGGTCTAGCGACCTCAATGTGAACGAGGCCTAATCACAACTGTAGAACCAGAAAACATGAAAAGTCCGTCTGATCCTCGATCGAGTCTGAGATGACTGAGAGATCGAGAGAGACTTGCGCGATTCTGACACGTTGGCTCGTTTTAAGCGTTTAACAATGTATACGATATTTTCCCCAAGGACGACGTAAAATTTATATTTCATTCAATTATGATTGAGAAAAAAATCAATAAGCGGGCTTAAAACTGTAATCTTAACGTTTCTTTTGTTCGTGATTGTGACTTGCTTGCCGCCACGTTCAGTACAGTCCACAGATCGAC